TCCTGTGAAAACTGATTCTTTAGATGATAAAAAGGTCTAATGTACAATATTTCATGGCGAAAATTTTGCTCGATGCACGGTGTAAGCTGCCTTACATTAATATTCCTTGTTATTAAAACGATGACGAGAATGAAAGGCGGGGGCGAAGATTGCGCGATCTTTTGATGTTATTTTGCAACGAAACGAAACTAACAACGCCATTTGCTATTTAAACGACTGAAAGTTATCGTGGTTGAAAAAAGACAGATACATGTGCCTCTTAAAAGCAACTGCTAAGCATGCGTGCGCGCAAGCGGGTATGTATGTATGCAAGCGAGAATGAAAACTTTAAACAAATTTAAAACTATTTTCAAATTCTCAATGAATACGTTGCGCTTGCATAAGCTAATACGCCTGTAAGAGATAGGTAAAAGGGATCAAATTTTAAATTCATTTTGACTAGGAATAGAATGGTTCAAGCATTTACCAGAGTCTTAAAGGTTGTAGCGTGTAGGCGTCAATGGATTTACCTCAGTTGATACTTTTTAAATTTTCGTATTACAATTGTTTTAATTTCTTATTTACTTGCAGCTATCTTTAGGCTGTTTAATATAAGCTCTTGAATAAGCTGCGTTTGCCCTTTTCTCCAAAACAAAACCCGTAAGTTATGCAGAAAATTTGTTCAGTCGTTTGTTTTGACTCGAACAAAATCGGCTGCCATTATATTAAAGTCTCCGAAGTACATTTTTGACATTGTCATAAGTGAGCTTAACATACTTGGCAGAGATAAGTATGGAAAAATGAATGAAGCTGATATGTAATAGAGAAGCAATATATGAAGAGAAGAAAACTTGATTTACCATTAAATGCTCCAGCGATAAAAAGAAATCTACGATTGCATTATTAATTGTCAATTTTTGTTCTCTCTCTTTATTGTGTGTTAATCTTTTATAGATAAATAAATGAATGTTAAGAAACGTAACTCTTTTAAATGTCTAGAATTTCTTGAAAAAAAATTAATTTAAAAATCGTAAGAATTAATATTGATGTAAAAACTTAACAACTAACAAGTATTATTATAATTTTATATGTACTTCTGCATAATATTATTTAATTTTATATATCTTCTTAAATCAATATTCATTCAAAATGTAATTCTTTTATTTAAAACTTAATACATTTCCATTATAACTATTCTAAAACACATATATTTACGAGTGTATTTGTGTATAAAAAGTAAGCTAATGCTACAGCTTAAACGCTACACTGTACCGTTTATACAAATTTCATTTGTATAGGAGCACTTTTTTGTTTTTTTTTTTTTTATATATATATATATATACATCTTCTCGTCGTACATGTAGTCGAAATTATATTTAAAAACAATTTTTTAATCATTTATTATCTTTTCATTTTAATATATACACGATTTTGGTATTTTCTCACCATAATTACTCACCATCTCTCAAAAGAAGAACAATGATGGAAAATATTTATTAAATGAAGTAGTGACTAAAAAAAAAAAAACGGCCAAAAGAGCTAAAGTGTGCCGATACTTCCTTCCTTAGTACGTCTGGCAATGCAAGATTCCAAATGGAGAGTAGGAAATAAAGTGTATTGGAAGTTAAACAATTATTCTTACAAGTTTTAAATGTCTGGTGCATCCTGCTTTAAATCAAAGATATTTACCACTATTGCTTGTGGCAATTATTCACTGGCTGCTGCCATGGTAGTGCTTATAGTGCTTATAGTATAAGCAAGAGCTTATATAAAAACGAATAACAAATGCTAATGGCTCACAACATTTTCCTTTTTCCCAAAGGAAAAAAGGGGAGAGAAAGATATGATATTTGCTAAGGGTTCCTCGAAAACATGGTCTCTAAGCTTGGGCTAAAAATTACTTCCTTGCTTACTTGTGAGTGTTTTGTAAACCAATAAATTGACTGCTTCTTAATACTAGCAGCATAAGTAAAAGCCAAAAAGTAACTTACTCTTTTTGAAAATGATACAGGATAGTTTGAGGTATATCAGAAAAACAATATTTTCTATATATTAACCTGGAACACGGTAAAATAAGCAATTAATAACGTGTCGTTGATGGATTCCCCCTTAAGATTACCTCATCGGAAATCTCAAGTAAACATATTTGGTACACTTCTTCGATTATCCAACTTTCACACGTTGCATCATTTCAATTTTTGCAATGTGGACACGCACGAAACAGCTGAAAATTTCTTATAATCCCGGATGCAGGTATGGGAATGTTGTAAGCTAAACGTTTATTCAATCGATCTCGATGTAGTGGTTACCGTTATTTTTACCATTTCTAAGCTATGACCATCGACGCGTTTTACTTTATGCTCGGAGAAAATATATGCTTTGCGCACTTATCTACAAATATGAACTGTTGTAGGCAGAGCTATTCGTACATGTATACGCTCTGTACCTGTAAAGGTAAAGGGCGCGAATTTTTTTTTTTTATGTTTTTCAATACTCCAAGTATCTCCAAAGAAACATGAGAAGTGAACAGAAAACTTCTATGTTTGCGAATTGCGAGTGATTCATTTGTTGTACGTTTTCGAAGTTTATGCGCATATTGGTTTCTTGACTTCAAATATGGAATGAAAGAAAGAGAAATCTAACATTTAGAATACCTTGTTTTGCGAAAAGAAAATACAAAGCATAGGTAAAGAAATACTTCTGCTAAAAATGAAAGTCAATTTAACTGAATGTAAAAATTTTGAGTAATCAACTTCTTGTATTTTCTCCATTGCTTTTTTTCTATGAGAATTACAGAATATTTTATTAATAATATATAATATAGGGCGAAACTTTCGCTTTAATAACAAATTAACGGCATTCTGTGCGAAACTTAATTAAACTTTGTATAATTTTTTTTTATTAAAACTATCGTCTTAACATCCGCTTGCTGTAATTTAGGTCAATTTATTTTGTATATAAAGTTAACTATGGCATACCTTACAGTTATATTATCTACTTTGACGCTGACGAAATATAATGGAAATCAATGCAGTCTCATATGACTGCCGATATGATAAATAAATTAATATTAAATTAAACCTAATTTTAAGTATATAATAAACCTTTACCAACGCTTAACAGGTAATGCAAAAGATAATAATGACTTTTGAAATAATGCAATATGCAGTGAAACTTATAGGCATCTCTACACAGCAATAGGAATGAGTATAATGCCATACACTTTATTCTTTCCTTAGGCCAGCCTTCAGTTTAAACTTTTATGAAAATGTTTCTTTTCTATTGCACCTTCCGTATTGCATCTCCCGTATAATAATCGCAAAACGCATTTAAGCGAAACATAGTTAGGTTGTATTTCGAAAATATTGAATAAACAACATCATAAGTTTACCAATTATTACTATGAACAGGCAGTTTGTGCAAGTGCGGATTTATATGTGGCTTCACTGCGTCCGATATTGCTTTAAGTCAGTATTAATAAGTGCGTAGGGAAGTCTCCGACGTAAAGTGTGAACTCTTGACAACACACGTATCCTTACATTTTATTGAGTTAGAAGGGTTATCAATGCTAAAAAAAAAAAAAAAAAAACAACTTGACACGAAAACAGCTGTAGTTACGAAAGCGAAAGTCTCGAAGGACTTGGAACAATTTGCTGTTGGAACACGCTGTATTTCCATGTCTTTGCATTTGTTGACGTATATGAAAAACGTTGTTAATATTTTTTTAAAAACCAACCGGCGACAAAGAAGCTCCAACAAAAAAAAAAAACTTGGTTTTAAATAAAAAAATGTCTTTATATATCCAAGAAATCTGTCAATATTGCAATTTCTAAACGTTTAACCAGAGATTGATATCGTCTCACATTTGGCGAACGAAAATTTTACGTTTAAGTAGTAACGTGCCTCGAAAACCTCTGTCAAACTCTTGTAAAGCCTTCGTCGTCTTTGAACCTTTAAAATGAACAGCGAAAAATTGCACGGGGTAGCGTTATTGACATTGCACGAGATCAGATTTCACAAATTCAAAAAAGTTCCTTCAAAATGGATTGATTTAGAAAAATTTAACTGTTGTGCGTAAGTTAAACAAAGAGTGTCTCAGTACGTAGCGAAACGCAGGCATGTCTGCACTTCAATAAGATTATCGGACATGCAGTGAGGATAAAATATAATGTCTATACAATAATTTTCGTTTCTAAAGAGATTTCCAACGTCGAAATTGACATTCTATACAACACACTAGTGACAAAAGTGTGTAGAATAACAGAAAGAAATTTTGGGAGAGTTTGAAAAGAGAAATTACTGTTCGTACTTCAATCCATCATTGCGTAATTGTCTCTTTTACATATATATACACATAGTATACGTCTAATTAGTTAATCCATTAAAACATGTCGTTTTTAATTCTAAGCCAATTGCTAAAGGTATTTGCCAAAGGAAAAAACTGACAGCACACAATTTACAAAAAATCGCACAATTAAAATTAATCAGAGAAATATAATCTACATAATCGATATAAAGTCACGAAATATATGCGCTACTCTTCCAGACAGTTTCTTATATAGATATAGATAGATATTTCCGTATACTATGAAGTTTCTGAAAAGTATAGGAAATTTATAAAATGTTTCTCTCATAGGTTGATGGAGATAAAAAGCGTATTTTAATATAATTTCACTAAACAAATGAAATGTTATTAACAACTTTTCCTTCTCTTTTTCATATAATTTCCTTTAACTCAATGATACTCTATTTCTTCATGTATATATATAGTTATATAATATACATATATGTATTTAACATTTTGAACTCTATACATAGTCGTCATCTGTACAATTGTGTATGCATTTATGTGTGTACAAGTCCAGTGGAAGTGTTTGGTAGGAAAAAAAAAAAAAAAAATGGAAACACTTGTATATACGTTTTTGTATCTATGTGCTAGTGGTTTTTTGTTGATTTTGTTGTTGTTGGTGCTGCTGTATCAACTGAGGCATCTTTATCGCATGACCCATTATAAACTGAGGTCAGTTGACGCTTACCAAAGGTTCAAGTGTGGTTAAATGCAGCAAATGCTGTTGAGGCTGTCGTTGGTGTTGTTGAGTGGGATGATTTTGTTGCTGTTGCTGTTTATGTTGTTGTTGTTGTTGTTGTTGTTCTATTAAAGCAGTCGGTGATGGTAGGACCATTACAATTGCTTCGGGCGGTAATGGTGAACGCGCGGGTGTTAATGGCGTTGTGGTTAAGGAATTGGGTGTACCAATGTCTGATGGTGCACCCGGTGGTATTAGGGTGGCCGCAGCTGCCACAGCAGCTCGGGCTGTAGTATTACCGCAATTGCGAGGTGTTGTTGAGTACATTAAACCAAGATTATTACTATTGCTAATGCTATTGCTATTGCTGCTGTTACGAATATTGGTGAACTCGCTGCCCTGCTGAGTTAATGAGACTGATTTAACAGGTGGCGGTGGTGCGGGTGGCACAATTATCAAATCATCTATGGTGCACACACGATCATCAATAGGAAATTTAAAATTTATTTCGTTAGTGCCACCGTTTGTCGTCGTAGTTGGCGTTGTGACTACATTTAGCGGCTCTTCCGCCAATGTCTCCAAACCGTTGCCACTCAATGTTGACGCATGTGTTTTATTGCTTTTACTTAATGTCATGCAAGTGTTTATTTTACCATTGCCTTGAGCCACAATTGTAGCCTTTACTTCCAAATTCTTCTCCAAACATTTATCTTCGCCTGATGTTACAAAAGAGTAAACAAAAACAAAACGAAAAACGAAGGAAAGAAAACATTTCCGAAAAATTAAAGGAGACTACGAAAAGCGAACACTTATATACTTAAAAAATAAAGTGTGATTTAAATGTTTTTCTACAGGATATTCTTTAAGCGAATTAAGGGAGAGTCGATGTTAATATTCAGGCATAAGCGTTAAAACAATATATAGAAATAATTTCGAGTCGTTCATTTTCCGTTCTCGTCTGAAGTATAATTGGTGACGATTGTAAACTTTGCTTTGACATTTTTGTTATTTCTTTTTTTTTTTTTTTGATGACTTGGTGGTTAACAAAGGCCTTTGGGGAAAGTGTTTCTCTTCTATTTTTCGTTTTTTCTATTTATTTATTGTTGGCATAGCTGGGTAACTTAAACACACTTTGGTATTCTTGTCATTTTCAAATTCAGAGTTAACTCGTGCCAGACAGGCAGAAGCGCTGCTTGCATAAAGAGAGGAAGTAAAAAATACTTCTTTTTTTTCGTTTTTTTTTTCCTTAATCTTTAAGTTCTTTGTGCCAACTACTTAGTGAATTGATTGGTTTGCTACGAAACATTCAAACTAAGAAAAATGCGGATATTTCGGCTCGTTTCTTGCTTTGCAAGATTTGAAAGAAAGTGTTGCAGCTTGGAGCATTTTGTAACTTTGTAAATTTGTTTTCAAATTCAATTTAGGTCGTCGGATATTTCTAAGACAAGAATTTTTTTTTGGGCAATTTTGCCAAAGAAATTTCAAACATTACCGCAATACGTAATACGTTAAGTGACGAAAAAAAAAAAAGAAACTCATCCGTTCGGTGCTGTTTTTTGTATGTTTTTAATTATCCAAATTAAAATTGAAAAGTTCTGCTAAAATATTCTTTGTACTTACTGCTATTCAAGTTGTCTTCGCGAGTGTAGTAACGAGCACGTCGCTTGGAGAAACATAGAGCCAAGGATATTATAATAGTTACGATTAAAACCAAGATAATTCCACCCAGTATCGCAAGAGTGTTGAGATCACCTAAAGGAGGAACAAACACATATGTTTTCTATTTTCATTATTTTAGGATTAAACTTAAATAATAATTATATTAAAAAAGAAAATGAATAAAATATATTGTATTCATTTTTCTAACCAGTACATGTTGTATTCACGGCAATTACTAGCGTGGCCAATAAAGAAGGTGCTCGTAGAAGAAAGCGCGATTTTATTGGCGGAGAGAGAATGAAGTTTTTTATTTTGGATCTGCACTCTGACTTTTTAGTTTCTTATGCTTTTCCAGTAACATGATTTGTAGAGCAGCTAAAAATTGTTATCTGTACCTCATCCCAAGTTCTCTTGTAATCCAAAACCTTCATCAAATAAACAACAATCTTTTATAAACGACCAACTGCTAGCGCGGGCCAACACTGGAGAATATGGTGTTAGGGGAAGCAAATCATACGATTCTGCCTTTATAACGATTGATGTATGGCCTGCCTATGAAGAGCGTTATTGTCATTTAGGAAAGTTCTTTCTATATTAAATACGGCCTCTTCTTCTTGATTTTGTCATCCCAGCAAATCAGTCACCCTGAATAGTGCACGCTTGTTATCATTCGACCTTTTTTTCAGATAGTTGGCAAAGGTCACGATTACAATCGTTTCGAACGATGCTTATCTCTTTGCTCGCTTTGGTACAACTGCACGCAATAGAAGTTTCTTTCAACTGTTCAGATGTGAACGGAGTACAGCTTTAGATTCAGGTTCCGTTTCAAATTTTGTAACCTCTTAATCTTAAACATTTCAACTTTTTATTGAAGTGATCAAACTTGCGCCTTTTCAATATAAATGCAAGCGGACGCGGCATCCATCCTCTACGAACGCTTTTTGCATTCAATTTTTTGTGAATGGATATTAAACACAATCCCATACGAAACGTTCGCGATCAAAGCGTACACACGTACTTTCAATTTTCCCAAAACTGACGAGCTTTGTTATTCATGTTGAAAGTTGTTCATCGCTTGTGCTCGCACAACCACGTTTAAGTGCGGCCATTCGGCGGAACAGACTGGCCGTAACATTTATCGAGCTTTTCTTTGGTTTCCTGTGATCTCTTTTTTTTCAACAGACGGAATTTAACAATAGTAAGATAGATATTCGTCTTTTTTTTTAGTACGAAAGAGATTTCAAATATTTTTTGCTTTCTACGCAACTCAAATAAGTACTGGTCGAATATTATGAGTTTTGATATGAAGTCGTTTAGTAGTTTTTAAATTTTGTCGGAAGAAATTGTAGTATTGCGGTATTTAAATTGGTATAAAATTTCTGGACCGAGTGGGGCAGTTTCGGAAATGATTAAAACGGGTCAAAGGAGACACCTGCAGCAACCACACGCCGGTGTAACAAAAACTGCGCGCATTGCTGCTGCTAAAATCTTGCTTTATAAATGTCATAAAATAGACAAGCGAAGAAGCGTCCACAAGTTTGCCGAAACTGCAGAGATGCAGTTTAAAATTATGCTCCCAATAGTTTGCATCCTATAGCAGATATCTAACTTTTTATTAAACAATGAATGGCATGGGTCCTACATTCTCCTCTGACCACTTATCTGATATGGAGTTTTAAAGCTGCTTGCTTGGATTATTGGTACGCTCTTAATGCCAAAAGTGATATATGATAGTTGTTTTTTAAAGGTTTATTATTTGCATTTATTTTTAATATATCTGATATGTGTGCACTTGAGGTTAAATATGAGAATATATACACTATGGAAGATACCGATGCCGATTCGCTTCATTTACCCAAATCCAGAAAGAGTTCCTCCAGAGATAAACCAGCTGACTTATTTAAGCATGTCTGACCTTTAAATTTTCTTAAAGGTCCGTTAAAGTAAAGGCGTTGCCGGGCGTTGTTTGTTACTTGATAATCATCTCCTTCTTTAAAACTGCAAGAGAGAACTTCCGCGGAGACTGCTTGAGTTTTTAACGAGCTATGACGCCAATAACTGCCTTCAGAGTGTGAAGTAATTAAGCTTATGTCGTTATTCCAATCTTCTGCAATAGTAACATTTTGCGATGACTCCCCTTTATCAGGGTTGGAACATTTTGAATAAAGATACATTTCAGTGCTTTTTCCGCCGCATAACATGTCCTTTAACGGTTCGCAAATGTTACTATCTTTTAAGCACAACATAGAGTGATGTTTATATTTAATTTTTTTCAAGTTGATATTTTTATTTTCGTTGGAACTTTCATTCTTTCCATTGGCTTGGGTGGCAGTTCTCTTTGTACGTTCAAAAATATTTTCTGAAATGCGTTGGAAAATATTCGAGTCCATCGATGAATATTTGAAACTGTTTAGGTCATCTGATCGGGTTCTTTGCAGTTGAAAAGTTGAAGTTTCATCAGATTTTGCAATATGTTCACAACCTTGAACGTAAGTATTGCTCATATTGAGTTGATATCAAGTTTGAGTATTATTTGAACGTTTAACTTCTGCAGCTCAAATGGGAACTATAGTTGCTGTGAACGCAACAAATACTTATATATATATATGTAGTTCTTTGGTCTTAGTGATTTATTTTAGGATTGGCTTCAATTTTTAACCAATCATATTTTCGAAGTAATTATTTTTACCTGTTTGGTTTGGTGCCAGGGATTTATAAGCAACCCAAGCAAATTTTTGTTATGCAGAGATTTAATCTCTTAGTCATAAAGACATACTTCATAGATAACCTGCAACTCGGGGTATTTTAAAAAGGAAAATTTCCGAAATATTATTACCTCCTGTAATGCATGCAGTTTTTCAAGATTATTACAGGTTTCCCAGTTTTCTGTAGATGTTTATATATTTAATTTATATTGGCGATATAATGGCGTTTAAATTGCTCTACAGAAAACTGAAAACAAAAAAACTTCGAATGTATGTATCGGTAAACTATATTTCGTACAGTTTAGTAAAATGCTTGCTGGTTTACACATCTTTATTTAGGCGTCCATCATGGATTAGAGTGATTTTTGATATCGAAACTCAAAGCTTGAAATCTTTCGAATTCTGCTGCAAATCTTTTAAATTTTACACAAATTTGTTTGAATACAATGCCTTACGACGACGAACAATAAATGCGTAGACTATTCGTTCTGGCTGTTTTTTCTCTAAAACATTTAATACTAATCAGAGTAACAAATTGAATAACAGAAGTATATATCATAAACAAACCTCTAAAGCTCAGAGTAACGAGAGCTGTTTTGATTAACTGATATGAGTTGATAATGAGACTTGGTATCCTGCATATTGCGTTCAGAAAATATTAGATATATTTTTAAGGGAGAAATTTCTCTTTTTAGCGAAACGAATTGAACAACTTAAACTGTATTTTTTGACCTTTCGAATCAAATTTCAGAATGATTTTCGAATTTTTTTGAAGTTTGTGACAGAAATTTGAGTGCCAACTTGATGCTGTAAACACAGTAAAATCTGCCAATGATTACTTTTCCAGCATATAATGCGTTCTCAAAATGTACATCTATTTCTATAATTTCGAATGTTAGCGAGCCTGAAAATGTTAGTGTCACAAAAATAGTTTTATCGAAACTAACCTAATTCCCAGAAAGGGCGGAGTATTATGCTTTGATATCATAAAATTTTCTTTGAATTCCTGCCTGAGTTAAATTTGGGCAAGGCCTGTTATTAAATATCCTGCGCCGCTACGCGTAATGCTAATTTTTCCCTAATTTGGTCAAAATATATCAAAAATGTTGTTATATGCGAGTATGCCTATCATGTTCACAGACGATGTTGAATTTAAAAAAAAATAGTTTAATGTCCTTCATTTATTCTCATCATAAATATTAAAAAGTAGACTTTACCGTGTAAAGGGTTACCATTATTGACAAGTCTTATATACGGTAGGGTTCAAAAGTAGAGTAACGTGATCCAAAATTTACTGCAGCGTATTTTCGGGCCAAATTACTATTATGAACTAATTTTCATTGTAAATAGACATTTATATCATAGCTGTGGTCACACGGAAAAGGCTCAAAGGATTGAAATCAGAACGCGGTCTGCAGCTGGCGGTTAGTAAAAATTCACTGGCAACGCTTAAAAGTGAAACATCAGCAAATATAATAAAGACAATAATACCTAATTTTTTGTTAATCATCTGTTTCGTCTTTGGGTCAAAGCATGTCGCTGCACTAAATTTGAAGGCAATGTCTCAAGAATTGCGAGCTGTAGCTTGAACACAAATATACATGGCCAGGCATCAGACGGACAGTTCCCACAAACGCAATAAAGCAAAGAAAAGAAGCGAAAATTAGAGGACAAAAGACAAAGCCTGAGTTTTCTAGAATAAAAGGTAAAGCTGCCTATCTCGACGAAAATCTCAACTGTCTGTGTACAATAAATTATTCAGCTTGTTCGGAAAAGAAGAAAATGTTCAAGCTTTGTTGGCAATCAGGTTGCAGCAATTAATTTAAAACAAAATACTTATGTTTATCTTAAGCTTAATGTCGACGATTAAAATTATATGAACAATCTTTCAACAAAAGTAATGAACAATTATGTAACATAACAAGACATGAATAGTGAAATATGACGATATAAAAATAAATAAAAACACTAAATTAAGTGAAAAAGCGGTTCAAGTCGAATCATTTTCAATAGCATTTGTCCTTGTGCCACAGCACGTACTAAATTTGAAAATGAAAATATCTCAAAAATTGTGGATTGTATTTTGAGCACAAATATACGACGAGCATGCAAGCCTGGATTGATCAGTGTTACACCTTTATTACACCTTTATATCGCAAACTGCTTCGGGCGTAATAGAATTAACTTAGACAGATTGCATGAGGTCTACTCGATATAATGTATACTGGACAGCCAACTGTATGGGTAGAGATAAAAAGTACATCTAAGAGTCCATATATCATGCTAACTAAAATATATTAATTTTCAATCTTTCTAGTTAATGATGTGTCTAGGAACATTGCCTGCATACGTACGTATACTAAAGTGAATAATAAATGAATGCATAAAAGTACCCATCCAGTTATCATATGGTTCAAACTTCCAGAAAACCCCGCTTTCCGCTTAAAACTCATAAAAAATGCTCTCTTCCGGAAAGGCAATGAAAAAGAGAAACTAAGCAAACTAAGCAAATTTATTCACACACTTAAATCCAAGTTTGGAGAATGCTCATACGGCACTTCGTTTTCTCTTCACTTGTGGAAAATATAACAAACGCATTACATTTTCTATGCCTTTGTCTCACTTTTTACATTTTCTCGATTATTTACCTCTTTCAAGAAAATTGTGCGAAGTGCTGGCAGCATTCTGTTCTTCGTCAGTAATATATTCCAAACAAGAGTCTAAGCCATTTGCATCCAGATCGGTAATCTCTGCGCCGCGTAGGGTTTTTGGCAGAAAACATATAGGATATGTATCCCATTTCCACTGCAACTGATAAGAAAAACATAGTTAAAGTAAAGATAAAAATAAACTGTTTTCATCGTAGACCTCTACAACAATCTTGATTGGTTTAAACGTTTACTTATCATTTCGTCTTTTTTGTCGACATGAATTTGCATGTAGTCCTTCTATCGCTTACCTGCCTTATAACATCGATTAATCTGCCCATATGGCATTCATCACATATAAGCGGATTATTATCCAATCTTACGTTCCGTATTGCCTGAATTCTTAACACAATCTCTGCATTGATGCCATACAATTGATTGCGTGACAAATCCAAAAACTATAGGGATCAGAAAATTGTTAAAAACAAAAAGCTGATCAGATATCTTTTGATGAAATAAGACAAAATGAAAAAAGATGTTGTAAAACAAGTTTTTTTATTATTGTTCACAAAAAATGTTCATTTTAAGACTTTTTGTATATCATATTTCATTAGTTTATTTTTATTTATTTTTTTTTTTTTCAATTCGAACTCGATTTGTGTTCTGAGTAGAGCATGTTTTCTTTTCGCCTGCGATTTTTTAATCGTTTCGGTGATTTTGCTAAAACTGTGTATAGTAAAAAAATAAGAAAAATAAAAAAAAAAACAAAAAACCAAAATTAAAATAAAAAAATTGAAAACAATTGACATTTTCCTTTAGTAGTTCCCAATCTTTTTCCAGCGAGTGGTGTTTTCCCAAATTACTAAATAATAGGCAACCATAAGGCGTAATGGTCCCGTGGCCGCCAATTATAAACTCAAATAGATTTCGTCTATTCGGACTTTGCGGTGTTGACAATCAGTAACATCACTTCTATTGACAAAAAACAAGGTGTTATTTCTTTAACGGATGCTAGCATAACACTTTCACATATCAGTCCCTTCCTTATAAAAAAAGCTCTAGATAGCATGGCAATTTATTTGTCCTCGCTGTGAACTCGCGTGCAACCGAAAACCTCATAAAGTCGAAATCATTAGCTAATTTATATGCTATTTCCGTTAAATTACATGACAAGCTGAGCTAAGTTAGAGGCGTAATTTATGCATGTGCTTAAAGATAAAACCGTTCGCGAAACGGGCAATCAAGGAGTGACCGAAGTCTATTAGTTCATTAAATTAAATGACGACAAGAAAACCCGCTCTCCTACCTTTGATCGCTATCGCTTACTGCAAACTGTTTATGTGGCTTAGTATAAATTAATTATTATTACAGAACAGAATATCAATATAATACCTTATCAAAACTATCAGGCTCAATACCTAATATGCTTTTATGCATTAGAGCCGATAGCCTGTGTTGCTAGTGCTCAATGTCTTTCTTTTAGTTTAAGAACTTATTTCATTAGTCTAAAATTATAATAATAACAGTTTACTTTTTCCATACTATTTTCAATAAACCTTTGGAGAAATATGTTAAAATGAATTAAATCTGTCACCGAAATTGTGGCTTAATTAATGTCGGTATTTTTAAAGCCTAAAACTATGTTTTTCTTTCCAAAAAGACGATGCTTTCAATTATATCTTATATAGATAGATGTTTTAATTTCCCCAAACATGTAACTACCATTATAAGAGATAAATTTTCTCCGAGAAAGTTGAGCACTAGCACGACTAAGACTATCAGCTCTATATTAAATAAAGACACTAATAGATGGTTGGTTAGTCTAGCCATTTTAATAAAGTTAAATATTCTACTGATATATTACGTTGTGCAACTGCCTTCAAGGTGTCTACATGATTATTCCTTCTGAATATAAATTTTTGAATTGGAGAAAAGTTGTCTTTAAACTTATTTTTGATAAAAGTAAATTTAAAAAACGTATGCGATTTTTGTAAGAAAAGGACTGAAAATAAAAACCTTATCATCATCAAATTAGAGGAAGAAACAAAAGAGACAGTAAGCCGGAAAGCGTGCCGTAAAAAAATGTAACCCTTTCCTTTTGCATTTGCATTGCAAACTTTTACTGGGTGTTTGCACGAACACATGTGGCGGGTGTTTAAGGGTTTTTCGTAAAATTTATTGCTTAGTTTAAAACAAATTCTACCCAAAATTTTATACAATTGCTTTTCTTTTGTAGCAATTATTATGGTTTTCGGTACTATGTGATACTGTTCAGGCAGTACCGAGGAAAACTTTTGCAATGCATTTCAACATTGTCCTCAGACAGACGGTTGCAAACAATAGCATAGCTGCGCAGTCCTTTAACGTTTCACAGCAAATAGTATGAAAATATAAAAAAATGTCCATGCATTACATATGCATGCTTACAGACAAATAAACTAAACTTTTGCTACATATATATTTATGTGAATATTTTAAAAATCATATTAAACAGTAGCTACCAGTCTAAGAGATATTATCAAAAAATACCAGGAATTGTTGCTTAATCACTTTTGTAGTTTTGGGTTTCTATAATTAGTAGCTCGATTGATTGATAATTGTAATCTCGGCGATCATCTGTAATTCAATTTTTTGACAAGAACTTTCCATGTCCGTTGTGTGTTCTAGTTTTTTTGCTCAAGTTAAGCTCGTACCTTAAAGTACATACACGAGTGGAGGCGGACTAAACGCAGGCGGCGCAGACAGGCTAGCCGTTGCCTAAAGCTAAGCAGACATAGTGCGGACGTACGTTTCTTTTCCTTTAATTCCTCTTTCGTTTCATTTTTTATCATTACGATATAATGTCGTCGCCAGTGGAGCTAGGCTTGCAAATGATAAGAAAACGTCCCGATAACGTTACGTAAACGAAATTTTCGAAAATATCGGGTAAAGATTTTCAAAGGCAATGAACGAATCATAGCAAGAATGTCAATAAAAGGGATAGCAGGTATTTAGCAAAGAAATTAAAATTTTGACTTTTTGATCTTGGTCGTCCATCACGCTCAACCAACGATAGAGATTTCTTGGTTAAATTAAAAGAGAAAGTAGAAGTGTTAGAAATTCGTTAACCTGAAAGGGGTAGATCAGAAATCTTAGGACCCTGTACGCAGCATTTTGCTTTGGGAGTAAAGCCTTTTTTCTATTAGAGCAGGAGTTTCTGTTCGAAACACTCGTTTATATATGTCATCAACCGAATCGCGTATGCATGTGACATCGAATTTGTAATTATTACCAAAGCCCTACAAGTCTTTCAGGGAACGGTACAAACACGGCATTTCATAGGGTTAGACTTTGTTTTGCTCGCGAAAGCTCAATAATAATTGGAACGTGTCCTTTAGTTTTCAATGTTCCCGATACTATTTGACACCATGTATGTAGGAAGTGGGCAGAAATTCATACATGCCTAGATATTCATACATAATATAAATAATATATGTACACTTTATTTTTAGTGTATTGGTATTTTGTGGTAAGACAAAGTTAACAACACATGTTTTCTTTATGCTTACAAATGCCGTACGAATGAAAATCATTTTGATAATCAGTTTAGAAGGCAATCTTTCTTAACAGAAAATTCTCATAAGCTTATAAATCAATTTGTATGTCCCAAAAGCTTCTCCTTCTCTAATTTACATAATTGTACTAAACCATATCTGTACACATAAAAAATTTAGAGTAATATTGTAAGTATTAGAAGTACTAAAAAAAAAAAAAAAAAATGACGAACGCCCGCAAATAGAGTCTCTATATACTTTATAGAAAAAAAATTCCTTTTGAAAAAGAATCCTCTAAGATTTTTGGAGAGTCGGAATAATAATCGTTTTATTTAAAAAACATACTTCAATAAATAAATATTTTATTTATTACCTAAATAGGAATTTATAGATATACGTTTCAATTCATGCTTACTCGTCTTTCTTCCCTTCACCTTTGAAAAAATTGTTGTTTGCGCTTTCGAGTAAAAATTATTATTTCATTTCAATTTCCTTTTCAAACCTGAAACCTTGAACCTTTTAGTTTTTCTATTAACCATGTTTGCGGTGTAGTGTGCCTTGGCTTGCACATACATAATATCTGGTTAGGACTAGTAGGCAAGCAGTACATGGTTTTCTATTTTTATTTAATTTTTTTTTTTTATTTACTTTTCAAATTCATTTATTATTTGTTTTTTATTTATATTATAAATGTTCTTCTTTTCTTGATATAAGCCCAACCGATTATTTTTATTACCTTTTATTTTATATTCACAATTACATTTACCTCTAATTCTTGGCAGGGTTCAATGACTTGTAAGGACATGCTATCCAAATGATTGCCAGATATATTTAAGTAACGTAAGTTTTTAAATGGTACCAGTAAACCAACTGGCAATACTCCCATATCAGCAATAGAAAGATGTGTCAGGTGCGGCAAAAGCTGGAGAGAAATAAAAACCTATTATAATGAATTTTATTATAACGTTTCAGAAAAGCTTGGACTTTTACGACAGAGTATCAACGTAGCGTAATTAATGAATTTATTAGACGTGCCGCACGCAGCATATAAACTTGATAAAACATTTGCGATTCGTAGATATACGTATCGGAAAATGCTGTTAAAGACGATAGTGAACTTCAATTAAATTCAAAAATCGAATGTATATCCACTTGAAATTCGAAAGATTTTCGAAGTGTAGATAACAAATCCCGCACTTGGCCAGCGTGTATAAAGTATTTCTATTTGGATATGTTCATCTGATATCTATTTTCGAGATACTTTGGCGAAATTTGTTACATCGGCCTATTTTGATCGAAGAACGAACGCCTTTAAACGCCCATTCCTCGTATACAGTGACACAAATCGCTCAGTAATAGTATTTCACCATAGGTTTTAAAAGTTTCCTGCGAGTAGTATGCCTTTATGTAACAAGAAAGCCTCATTTTTAATACTGAGTGTAGAGTGACGTAGGGATGTTTAGTCATTGTTCTTGCGAATTGAAAAATTTAAATCGTAGTCAAAAAAAAGCGTTTATCTCAATTTTTGACTTGTAAAAGGGAAAAAGAGGATAGGAGACGTCGGACGGTCGAATGTGCAAATTCTGCCATTTCACTCTGATCCGGGACACTCTTACTTCATAGATCGGTTACAATTGGAAACGTCATGCCCCCTGAGGTTAAGGTTACCTTAGAGTACGAAACCCGAAAACTATAACATTTTTAATCCATTAAATGTTTCTAAATTTAAAATTTATGTTATAGCCTTTAGATTGCCAATTATCGGCAGTTTTGCTCTACATCGAAATTTTGGGACCGGGTCTTGCTTACCTTCAGGCTTTGACTTCCATCCACACTATGAAGTCGTAGATGACCAGTTACGGACGGATGGACAGAAGAGTGCGTCCACATCGGGTTAAAATCTTATATTATTGTATTTACTATATACATAAATATGCATCGTAACAACAATTTTTCGTTAAAGCCAACTACTAACTATGTGTACCCAAATATTTCGTTGAAACCAAGCAATATTTCGTTGCTTTCAGCCTTAAAATTGCTTAAGCACGTTTCTTAACTTTAACACACTAGGCAAATATTTATATTTTATTACGAAATAGTTTGTGCATTAAAAACCCTAAGGTGTATAGTTCACTTACTAGCTTGCGAAGGTCGTTATCTTAAGGCTGTCAATAGTTTACACAAAAAGTAAATAGACGGCAGCAAACCTAAACTGCACTAAAGAATCCACAATTAATTTAAGGCATAAAATGTTGCTTTCGTAACGCGATGGAAAGAAAAGGAAGAAATATTTCAGTTGAGATTAAGATGAGATGCAATGAAATATGTAAAAACTTCCCTTTGGAAAAACAAAGATTAACGAGAAACATAAAAAAAAATTAAAACTTTCGATTTTTGAAGGGATTTTCTTATCGCTTTATTGAAAAAATCGGAAAAATTTTTCCACTAGCTGAGCAACATAGTTTGTAGGTTTTTTTATTAATGGGAAAAATCCAATCGAAATGGAAAAAAAAAACGTAAACTTACCTCAAATGTTTCGCGAATTTCATGCAAATCCATATGTATATTACCGCTAATGTTTAAAGTCCTTAAATTGTTAAGACGTCGAACAGATTGTGGCTCTAAACGCACCAATTTGTTATATGACAAATCCAGAAATGTTAAATTAGTCAAACTTAAAAATGAATTGTTTGGAACTTTAGCCAAACGATTATAGGACAGATCTATATATATATGTAAACACAAGCACAAGCGTACCAGCAAAAACACAAAAAGAAATGGAAGAAAAAAAATTTACAATGGAACAAGGAAGACATAAGAGAATGTTTGTTAAAATCATTGAATACCAAATTTGTTCAATTTTTGTGCTTCCCATTTTTCTTACCCAAATGCTTAAGAGATTTTTGCATACGAAATAGTTCATCCACAGCCACAGATAACTGATTACCATCTAGGAGAACTTTTGTTAAATGCTTGACATCACGAAATTCATCCTTATCGAGAAATTTGAACTGTTAAGAGATAATGGAAAAATTGGATTTTTATTCTTTAGCTTTTCCTTCTTTCTCTTTCAGCTATATTTTGTCTGCGCCATACCTCATTTCGTCCTAAATCAAGTTCAGCGAGCTGTGGCAATAAATTGTATAATTGAGGATTGATTTTTTTCAATTGACAATTGCGACATTTGAATATCTTAAGTTGCTAAGCGAGAATAAAGAAAAGAAAATTAAAAAAATTATATAAGATGAACATTTTCGGATTCGATTTTCTGCTACTAACTGGTACGTCGCGAAACACATCTGGTGGTAAATCTTGCAAAGGATTTCCGCTTAAATCCAAATATTTCAGTTTACTTAGCATAAAAAATATGCGCTGCACCAATTCACCAATAGAATTATCAGCCAAGCTCAAGCGACGCAGCTCCTAGCATCGGTAGGAATAAAAGTTAATTAGGTTAATGTTTTGTTAAAAAGAATTATTATTTATAAAGTGAAAATCATTTTCAAAGGAAAACTATTTTATTTGGAAATAATATATAACCATATAGGTTTCTTTCTACATTCGATGTTTCGTTGCAAAAAATTCAAAATGTTGTCTTGGCGTCTTTTGCAAATAATATGATTCAATCAATATTTGGTTACCATCAAGAAAAGACGCACCGTTCGAATAAACAACAAGTAAGAACATTAAGTTCGGTTTTATACCGGTCAACGTTTACCCCAAAAAAAAGGCAAAAGAAGTAAAAGAATGAAATTCTTACGCTCTGTAATATGGAGCGTGGGCAGTTGATTTCTTTTATTTTCAAAATAAAAGTTTTGTCGTAGAGTCATAGGGGCGTTGTAGGCGTGTTCTTTGAAAAGTTTAGGTCAATTCGAAATTCTGTTCCAAATTTTTAGGTGATATCTTCATTTACTCTAGCCGGAGAACATTTACTACAAATACTACAAAGTTGCGCAAACGGACAGATGGATAGACGAACATGACGGACCTGTTTAGGTGCATTCAAGATTCGAAACTGGTCAATAATTTGTATACTTTATGTGGAAACTAATCAATAGTTTGTACACTTTATGGGGTTTTTAAAGCTTGTTTCTGCGTTTTATAAAGGTATTGAAAAAATAGTTCAATTTTGCTACACTTTTTGGGTAGGCGCGGTCAATCTTTTCCATTTTTGTACACAGATACTACAGCGTCGCTCATAGAGTATTCAAATTTTTGTAAATTTATCAGCTAAAGAGTATGAGTAATGAGCAAAAAACGAATTTTTCATTCTCCTTGAAAAACAGAGTTGTTCTCAGTTTACGTGGTGCTGTGGACGTGACCTTTGACCGATGTGACTCATTTTCAATACCAACCTGCGTGCAAGAACTTCCAATGTGTCTCCCAAATTTTAAGTTAATAGCTTCCCTTTTGGCGCCAGGAATATGTTTACAACAGATATTACACAGACGGACAGACGGACATGATTAAATCGATTTAGAATTTCATGCTGATCAAGAATATATATATTTTGTGGGATCTTCGATGCTTCCTTCTGGGCGTTGTAAACGTTTTGACAAATGAACAAATAGATATTTTCCTCGTCCTTCGATGATCGGTATTTCTATCGGTCATCTATTGAAACTCGTGTTGATCGGAAGGAATAATAGCTGTTGTCAACAGCGAGGACGATGGGATATTCTAGGCTCGAATTGCGAACACTTCTTCGGCTCTGCATATCGTAATACATTTACTGTTCATCACGCGTAGGAACTTAGCAATCTTCGAATCCTGAGAATTAACTACGAAAATCAAAGTTTTCCGGAAATGCTCACCGACTATATGTATTTAAAGCTGCAAGAAACTATGTTGTGTCCTCTCCAATGTGATCGCATCGTTGCATATAGTTTAAAGAGAACCCTTTAAAATGAAGTTTTATTCATCACCCTAAAGTAGTAATTACACTTTGTCTTAGAAAGCCAAGGAGTCAGATTCACACCATACCAAACATATTATTACAATTTATAGGTGGTCGCCAAAGCAGGCAATAACATTTGATATGTTGTTTGTTCCTTAATTCAGGCAATTAATTCCAACAACTTAATCGTACATATTAGATATAAATCTAACAAGTTTAAGTTTGAGTATATTTGTCAATTTAATTCATTATCGGGGCAGAACAAAACGAGACAAATAAAAATAGTGACAGTAAAAATAATTTGCTTTCTTACTTACCGTTAAATTGCAAAACGTTGAACTGGCGATATTGATAATTTTATTTTTCGATAAATCCAATTCGAGAAGATTATTTTGCCCACGAAAATCTTTTTGCATGATAAGACTTATGTTATTCTTGGAAAAATCTACAGTATCGTATATCAAACGATTGCAATGATAGGCGAGAGTTGAGTGATTTTCATTTAACAGCAGCATCGATAAGCGCATAAAGACATAAAATTAAGAGGAAATTGAATAAAACAGCGACAAAAAAAAGAAAAGAAGAAGAAAAAATTAAATATTCATTAAGTTTTTTTATAGGTTAATCAGATATAAAAACATAAAAAATGGAGAAAAGAACCTCTCAGCACTCTACAATGATTCTCGTGTTAAAACCATTGCTGCTCAGGCTGCTTCGAAATTCGAAAGCGGAAAATTCTTGCAGTAACCAATATTTAATTTTATTATTGAAATAAGACGACAACGCCAACAACGTTGATGTACCATTGGCGTTCACGCCGTACGTATGTATGTGCATGTACAATTTGCTTAATTCGAAGAACGGTTTTCGTGACCTCGTTAAAAGAAATAAAATGAAAAGTCATTAAGAGAATTGTCGAGATCTTGTAAATATATTTAGTAGTCTTCCGGGATTTGCGTGTACATAGCAAATTAAAGGATTTTTCGATTTTCTCGCAGAGTTTTCTTATACACGTTAATTAAAGATTGATTTTGTATGAAAATTCTTTTTATAAAAATGGTTTTCCCTTTTTTTTTTGATTTTTGTATGCATTGAAATCAGATTTTAAGAAAAACAAAAGACTCCTCTTGATATTTTCTATACAAAATTCTTTGAACATTAGCAACAAATTTCTTGTTCTTTTCAGAAAAATTCAATTAAAAGCACAAGAATTTCTCAGAAATTAAACAGAAATTCTTTTTTTTCGTTCTCGAATTTTTAAAATAAGTTTCTTTTACGTCAATCATGTTGCATTCATCCTAATTTACTTGTTTGCTGCTTAATTGTTGTGAGTAATGCATTCTTCTTGAAAAACAAAAAAAAAAAAAACAAAAAAAAACTGGTATGAAATGCTAATAAACACCAAAATTACTTAAATACTATAAACTATATACGAAAACTAAAGATCTTTTATGCATTAATTAAACTTATCTTTTACTCTTTGCAGCTGCTGGTGCAGTAAGACAATGAGAACAGAGCCCAATTAGTTTTGGCTTGAGAAAAAAACCTTGTGTGCAATTATGCGTAAAGTTACTTGGAAAGTATTTCAAATTCAATGAGCACAAGATCGTCGTTCGTGATGCCGCACACATATGCATGCCAGTGTGCTGTAAAACTTCTTAGTAAAAACTATCAAGTGTGAATAGTGTATGTACAAGATTCGCCTTAAGCGGAGCTCTGCTGATAACTTGATGAAAGATGTAACTCTAGCAATAGCACAGTTATTGTCATCAAAATTTCGTTAAATGTTGGAATTTTCTTTCACTTCTTTTCATATACGAAGAAGCAATTGATCAAATTCCGTAAGTTTTAAAAGAAGCACTAATGCAAGATCAATCCACGAGTAGTTTGTCAGATTTTATTTCTAAAATTAAAATAACTTTAACCCACAATCATCCACAATGATATGTACATTTATCAATACGCCAAAGAACCATTTGAAATTAAAAAGACACATCGAAGAAGTTTATAGGGCCACTTAGGGTCTTAGAAAATACATCATATCGTATGCTTTAAAATTCAAAGAATCTAAATTCTCCTTGAATAGCTTTTTTTAGGATATGGACAATGAAGAAATCAGAAATGGAACAACATTAGGAAGCGTAGGACGCAGCTTCTTTGTAAAAAATAATCAATAACAAGAAAAAGAAAAAATAATAAAATGAAAATCATAGGATAATGAGCACACAAAAAAAAAAAATGATTTGAATATGATCGACTTGAGCATATTTCAATTTAAATTGAGTTGGACTTTATGTTATTCAAAATAAAAATATGTAAATCACAGAATAAACTTATTCTCACATCTCCATTTTATATTAATCCTAGCAAGCCTTGTCGTGTATAATTTTTAAGCGAATTTAATAACTTAAGAACTTACCAAGAATTTTTAAATGCTGCAAACCCCACAAGGATTCGGCACCTATGACCGGGACATTCGAGTCGGTGATACGTATTACTTCCAATTTGGGAAATTTCCTTAAAGAGTTACCAGTCGTTACAGAATTGCGTGGGCCTTGGATGATAATTACCTGGACCTCAGGATCTATGCTCTCGAAAGGAAATTTATTCAAACCACCTAAAAAATATTAAATGTTAACAAATCACAATTTCATTTACAATATTATAAATGAAAATATTCCCTAATATTCATTTTTCCTTCTCGAGTTTCTCTCGCTCCGACTAAGTTCAATCTTTGAATCATGTTCTCTTCTTCTTTCAATTAGTTAATTAACCGTTTGAGTCACAGACGGTATTGACAAAACACTGTCGAAGAATCCCAGGCAGCGCGATCGCGGTTAATTAATTGCATTGAACTATGTGTATATCTGCTCCTTGGTGTACTTATTTTTCTATCCCCCGGAAAAATATCCGCACCAGTTATTCTTTGACTCTTATAAATAAAGGCGGCTATGCGCCCGTTTTTGTTCAATAAGTTCGGTAAACAAGTGAATATAGATCATCTGTTCATCCGTCCATTTGCTTTGCGTACATATTGACTTGTCTGCCTGTCTATCAATGTTTTGATAAATTTTCAGACTCCGCAACAATGCGGAGGAAGACCTTAAAAAACTGCTTATTTTGAAGTAGTTTTAGTGAATATTTTTCAATCTCCAGTACATACAACGATTTTAATCGTACAAATCCGCTTCTATTAACGAAGCAATTCCATTTCGTTTTTTGTAGCTCAAGTTGGTTAAATTTAACGATTAAGCTATAAATAAGTGGTACTCGTCAGAACTGGCAGATGGCGGATGTTTATTTGCTTTCACGAAAAGCACTTCTTTCTGATATTACTAATCATTCAGGGAATGTGTGCTAAATGTGTTGCACTGTAGAGAGAGGTGTTAACCCTTTACCCGCCGAGCACTGTCTTGTTGCTGCGATCCAAGCATGGTCAGCCATTCACGGATTTGGCAATCGCGACGCTTATCTACTCGGCTGTGCGTTCCCGTTAAAGGTCACGGCTTGATATATATAGCTATTTGAAACACTATAGCTGGCCGGCGCCAGCCAATAAATACCCTACATCACCCTATAATTATTCACGTGCCCACTTTTCAAAATAAGGCCGATCCGATTCGTTTTCAATTGCCAAAATACGTCGGCATAACAAATTTCATGAAATTGTCTCGAAAACATTTCATTTTGTTATTTCAATATGCAGAATTCAGCTACGGCGTAGATTCAGTTAAATTAAGTTGAAAGCTTCATTTAGTTACAATTAAAGCAAGAGAGATCTTAAAACTGTGAGATTTAGAAGGACATGTAGGAATAAGCAAAAAGAAAATCGTATACTCGCCATACACATTCAACAACTGAAAATCATCAAATTAGAGTCTGTCTCGTGATCAATACCGAAATTTTAAATTTTGGTTTTAGTATGGCATCGGCAATACGCTGGTATTGAAAACAGCAGTTTTAACGAAACCAACTTATTTAGATTTTTACAGAGGACACTAATTGAGTTAAAAAGTTTATAATTGAAGGTGCATAGGCTAAGTTTTATAAAAGGAAAATTCATAGTCGGGCGAATAGAAACAGGAAAATTAATCCCACTTAGAAAAACAGGCGGGTCAATGGCACTATTTATAAACTTTATCAAGAAGTTTGGTAACGGATGCTTAAGATGTTTCTCGTATGACCGCAAATCTATGCTCTCCTAAAAATCACAGTTCAACGGTACGAACTAATTCTTAAAAGGAATTAAATGAAAACATGTAATCCACAAAAGACGGTTTATTTTATTTATTTATTTATTCTATTCCACTTATACTAGAAACTCAACTAAACAAATAACAGTCGAGTTCAATTGGCTCTTAATACAAAACTTATATTAATTAACAATAAAATTGAGTATAAGCATAATAAAACAAATAAGAAGAAAAAAAAAAAGAAAAAAGAAAAAAAAGCATGTACACTATCAGCATAGGAGCACACTTACACCCGGTACAGGACCAAATTGCAAATGAACCCCTAAGCCATCGCAAACATGCATAAGCCTGGCAACCGATAATAAATTGACAATAATTCACTTTCGAAACGTAACGACTTTTTAAGGATAAAAGCTAGTTTAAACACGACATAGGTAAATCGCGCGTATTAAGCAATGTTGCTTTAATAGACTTTAAAGAGTCCGATAACGAGAATAAGTGGTAGATGTCAGTTAGGTTCTTGCAAACGACTCTGAGCGGATTAAACAGCTCATAATTATATTTGCACTGACTAAGCTTAACCAAGATAAAGTGCCTAGAGAAGCGGTTACGGACATTAAAGCTTATTTCACCAAGTAATGAAGGCGAGTCAATAGCACCATTTATTACTTTAATTAGAAAGGAAACGCCAAGAACAAATCTACGTTTCTCAAGAGACGGTAGGGACAGCAGAAGCAACCTATTTTGATACGGAGGAAGAGAGGCAATCGGATCTCAACCCAAATTTCTAAGGGCAAACAGCAAGAATTGCTTTTGAACAGATTCGATTGAATCTACATAGCACCTATATGAAGGAGACCACACAACTGAGGCATACTCGAGTATGGGTCTAACCAAACACATGTACAGCCTTTTCCTAATGTAGGGATCATCAAGCTCTTTGGACCACCTTTTTATAAAACTAAGCGCGGACCTAGCTTTGCTAATCGAGAGCTCAATATGCAAGTTAAAACGCAACCTATGGTTAAATAGAACGCCTAAATCTGTGATCGAATCGACGTCCTCCAACTTATGCGAATCTATGAAATACTGAGTAATGAATGACTTTCTTCTTGAGAATGAAAGCTTCTTACGTTTATTTAGATTTAGATTCAGAAGATTCAAAGAGCACCATGCAACAAAATTATTCAAATCACCTTGAAGCTGATGTGATTGCGATTCAACAGAGAAGAAAGAAAACAGTTTCACATCATCAGCATACATTAAGATCTGGCTGGAATTAACCACCGATGGGAGATCGTTAATGTATAAACTAAATAAAATAGGACCTAAGTGACTTCCTTGAGGTACGCCAGACGTAACGGGGAATTCATCCGAGCTAATGGACTCTGGACAAAACTCTGAAGGATCTATTGTGCAGATAAGAGCTTATCCATTTCACTAAGTAGGGTGGGAAACCAGAGGCTTGGAGTTTAAAGATAAGCAGTCTATGGTTAACCATATCAAATGCTTTGCTTAAATCAGTGTAAATAACATCTGTGCGAGAGCCGCTAGAAAAAGCATTGAAAACATGACAGGTAAACTCTAACAAGTTGGTGACTGTAGATCGCCCTTTACGAAAGCCGTGCTGGTGCGGAGAAATATACGAATTAATGGCAAAGGCCAAATGCTGAGTCACAATACGCTCGAACAACTTGGGCAAGACACTCAACTTGGCTATGCCTCTGTAGTTCTCAACAAATTGTCTACTTCCACTCTTGTGGATAGGAATAAGGAAACTACTCTTCCAACATGAAGGGAAAACACCTAAATACAAAGACATGTTAAAAATCTTTGAGATCACACCACATAACTCGACAGCGCAAGATTTAAGTACACATGATGGAATTCCATCAGGTCCAGGCGAACAACTGTATTTTAGAGAATTCAACCCTCTAAAAACATCATCCGAAATAACCAAGTTAGGTATTGAAACCGAGTTAGTTATAGGATATGGCAATCGAAAAGTTTCGTCGGAAATACTCAGCAAATAGATTTGAGATTTCAAAATCATCCGAGGAATCAGAGCCATTAAATGAAACATGAGAGGGATATGTGGAAATTTTTCCTCTAGAGTTAACAAATTTAAAGAAGAATTTAGGATTAGCAAACAGAGAGGATTTAATGAACTGAAGGTATCTGCAGTAATAATGATGGTTGAGGGAGTTAAATCTATGCCTCGCCACCGAGTAAGCGACATAGTCGAGCGCAGAGCCACTTTTCGAATATTTTTTGAATAGCGAGTTTTTTCTATTCTTGTGATATTTAATTGTCTTGTTAAACCACGGGGCACACCTGCTTCGAGGTCGACAATGCTTGATCGGAACAGATGCAGCAATAGGTAGATTTAATGTATTGTAGAACGATGGCAATAAGCTTTCAATACTACCGGTTGAGAAATCAAGCGTCAGATGTGAAAGACGATGTTTTAGTAATACAATATTGTGGCAATTAATACACCACCACCAATGCGATTCACTCGATCATTTCTAAACACTTGGAAAGAATTATGAAAAAGTTCCGACGAATGAAGATCGGGTTTTAGCCAAGTTTCAGTAAAGGCCAAACAGAAAAATTCCGTGCTCACTGAATTTAGAAAAGTGGAACGAATTTTCGAATTTTGGTCCCTAACATTTTGATAAATGAGAGATAGTGGGCCTGAAGAAACAATTAGTTTTTTGAAGGCGACAAGACTATTGCCTTGGTATTACGGGGACGATCACGAGGGATAAATTCCTTAATTAAGGATCCTACTGGCCACAGTGATTTGTTTAACAACATATCACTGTTTTCAGTCGGAACTAATATTTTAAAAGAAGAGATTGCCCTAGCTTGAGAAGGAGCCATTTTGAAGATGCTAACACGCTTTAAGTTGATTGATGGGATTTTCGTCGCCAGATAACCTTTTATGTTATCCACCGATGTTTCAGGTGCCAGTCTTGACACAAATATTGCTTTTCTGGGAGGAACTGCCGTCAAGCAAATGTCATTATTTGGAACAGGAGGGGGGTTTACGGTAGAAGAGTTTCGAGTTGGGGACGTTACAATACTCGCATTTAATTGATACGAATAAGTAAGTATAAGAGGGATTAAAGTTGCTGAAGTTAAGGTTAAGTTGAAAAAAATTAGCAAAATTGTTCGGACACAAAAATCCCTGGATAGACAAGCTTAGATTGATTCGGAACCAATGTAATAAGAGAATATAAGGTAGTTTATTCTGGATGTTACAACCGCTCGCACAAACTTAATACACCGTGTACCACAAATGGTGTGAGTTATAAGTGGTTTTAAAAAAGTGCAAATTCCCAAAGTTCGAAGCTTCGAACTATCAAGAGCGCCGCTTTATAGAATTTGTTCCGGGCTTTAGATTGGGCGAATATTAACTTCCTTAGACCTCGAATTGTGGAGTAAACAAAACTCCCCTTGAAACGAATAGAACTAATCTCAGATATTTATTTCACAACTCGTAGCCTAGCATACGTAAAAAGGTGTTGGTTCATTGAAACACATTTATAAAATTTTACTTTACAAGCGTATGTATCAGCATTTAAAAAATTCTGTATAGATTTGCGCTCGTGCTTTCGCATGCAAAACGGGGAACAGAAATACAATGCGAAACGAAAAAAAAGGTTTATTGTAAAATTAAAATCCTTGTAAAAAATTTTCATTTACATCAACATTGCATTGCGTACGTGCACGCTAGCACAAAATAACAATAACAAAATTTTGCATACAGGGGATCATGATATGTAATGAATTTCCTGCTTGTAGGTAAAATGAGAAAAACATGAAGCTTTTAAAAGATTTTAAAATTGGGATTTGTTTTATATATCCTTCAATAAATAAAACAAAGAGGGTTATTACAACGATGTTGCGTTGTTTGCTATAGGTCTCCGCACAATTATCAATTGAATTCTCATGCTTCTTAAGCGAAACATTTTTTTTTATTACGCATTGTCTCATAAGATTATTCTGAGTAAAGAAATTTCTTAGAGTTACAACATTTTTGGAAAAAAATTTAAAATAATTTTGACTTCTTTTCATCCGTTCTACTTAATAACTTGTATGAAAAAGTTGTATACTTTTTAGTCTAGGAGTATCAACGGGTTTCTACCGATTTCCTAGTAAGAAAATGGACATTATAAAAGCAATGAAGAAGACACGAGGAGAGAGAGTTCATTTAAAGTATTGTTCATTGCTGCCCATTACAAGTTTTTTGAAACTTGTAACATATGGTTGTATCTTGTAATATTTGTTACAAATACAACCCTGTAGTAGGTGAGACTGTTAGTGTCACTCGTTGACAAGTGAATAACGGTTACATTACAAGAGAAAAAAAAGGGCGACAGACGGAACGAGAGTGGAAAGAAAAGCTTCAATAATTAGACGAAGAAAATTTTATGAGAAATTCCTAGATTCTTATGTGGTTTGTGACAGGCGAGTGATAGTTTTTTTTTTAACGGAAAAAAATTGATGCAAACTATTAAAAATTGTATTATGTCTTAATAGCATTTTGTTTAGAAAACACAAAAATTCAAGAAATTTAAAAATGAATTTTCCTTGTTTTAATTGTAAATTTTGCACTGTACAGAAAAAAAAAAGTACCGGACGCCGTTATGACAGCGCAAAAAATTAGAAAACATTATTGTGAACATTTCTATTAAACAATAAATTGTTAGTTTACACAAACAATTAAGAAAAACACAAGTGAATTGTCGATAGCTACATGCGGAGTTTACACTATCCGTCTTTAGCACTTTGAAATCACAATACAATTATCATTGTGACGTCCTCAACTTCATGCAATGTCTTCATCATCCGTAGTAACAAGTACATCATCGTCTTCAGCAACGTAAAATCCGCTTGTCAGGTTTTTCATCGTACTAGCATGCATATATATAATATGTTTAGTGCATAAGGAATCATCTATATCTACTTATAATTTATTTAATCCGTTTACTTTTAAATAATATATAGACATTAATATTGTTTTTGTTTTCTTCTTGCTATGTGAGAGGATGGTAGATTAGGAGAGTCGTCGGAACCAAAATCGGCGTCTGCAATTTCAAATCAAGGGCTTAAGGTGACCATAGGCAGGGTGGGGTACAAAATTGCTCAGGGTCAGTAGGACGGTCAGGACAAAAATTTAAAACCTGTCCATATCTCCATATTAGCAACCTCACGAATGACATGTACGTCGGTTTTTACAATCTCCGATCCTCGTCAAGTAACACTTAAACATAGCTGTGAAGTTAATATAGTTGATATTCAGACAGACAGGGAGGATTCCCAGACATAGCCTTTACAAACTTTTCCCAAAGAATCCATGGAATAGAAGACATATTGTTTGCCTCATCGATTGAAACATATATTAGTTAGAGACAGTAATGTCGGGGGAGTACGGCAGAGAGATACAAAGATTCCATTTCTGCGTTCCCAGCGTTCGCTGAACAAGTCTTGTCATAAGGGGCCGATCGTCATACGGGAAGATAGTGATATCATGAGTTTGATGTATTGTTTACATCTAATTGATAGCGTTTCGCAGTGACGGAAGCATGAAAGAAAGAAAGCTAAACGATATTACTTGCACACGAAGGAGTCGCAGTTATTTGCGATCCTATTGTACCATTTATGTGGTCGCCTTGGAAAAGAACCGCGAGAATTTATTCACCATCCCAATATATATACGTACATTAAATATGCAACATTTACTAATCGCAGTACTGCCATTGAAGTCTGTAGACGAGCGACCGTAGACAGTGGCAATCATTTCTCTTATATGGGCTTGCATACTCAGTGCATAGTATTTGCAACTCATAGGGGAATCTTTGTTATTTTCTGAACAAGTTTCAGATATATAACATGGAATGTCAGACCTAGGTTAATATTTGGCTTTTTGTCTACAAAAAACTCTTTTTTGTCGGATAGAATGGAATATACATTAGGCGAGGAGTTTTAAAGTGCTTAAGGCAGGGTTAAGTTGTATAGACTACACGTGCATATACGTAGATCGGTTTTTCCTGGTGGCTCTCGCACGGATGCCGTATACACCGTCTTCATTAAAGCGTTTGACTTAGTTAACCATAAATTACAAATATTTAAACTCCAAGCCCCTTATTTCTCTCTAATGAATTCCCCACGACGATGTCTCTGCAGATCTCGTACCAGCTTCAAAGTAACTTAGATAATTTGTTTACGTGGCGCCCATTAAACTTCACTAAATTAAATCTAAAAGAGTGCAAAAGTTTTTCAAGCAAGAATCCAATCTTTACTGGGTGTTTCATCTGTTCACAGAAATTGGAGATCCGTTGATGGATCTAGAGGTTCTATTCGACCAAAGGCTACGTTTTATTTTGCACATTATGCTCTCTTTTTATGTATAGCTAGGTCGGCTTTAGTTGGCATTAACAGGTGGTCCAAAGAGCTTAAGGTTCCTTACATTACAAAAAGGTTATATATGCGAATAGTTAGACCAATACTTCAATACGCCTCTGTTGTGTGGTCTCCTTGTCGTTCAAAGGCAACTCCTGCTGTCTGCCCTTAGGAATTCGGGTTGGGATCCGCTTTTGTCTTTGCCTCCTTATGAAAATAGGTTGCTTTTGTGAGCCTTACCGCCACTTGAGAAACGTAGATTTATTCTTGGTCTTTCCTTCCTAATAAAGCTAATAAATGGTACTATCGATTCGCCGATATTACTTGGTGATATAAAGTCTAATGTCCCGAATCATTTCTCTAGGAACGGCTGTGGTTGTGCCTCTGTACTGGATGTAAACATGCTCTTTTTGCTCTCTCCCTCTTATTTTTATAAACATATATTTCATTCGTTTTATATTTCCGTCATTTTTTTTTTTTACTTCTCTTTATATATTTTGTATTAATTATTAATAATAATTAACCTAAGATTTACTTCTAAGAGACAATTGAGTTCAGCTGTTCATTTATTTTAGTTGAATTTTCTTTTATAAATACAGTAAAATAAAATGAAAAAAAAAGGTGGCTTAAAATTATGGCAACCTGCACTCTTTTCCATTTAGAGGCTTCTTTGCGTCTACCGTAAAATATTTCTCGAGTTAATGAAGAAGGACTTATGGGTCATAGACACAGTTACTGAAATCACAAATCCAGTTCATTCTAACTAATTGATTTTCCCAAAAAAAAAAAATAAATTGCCTAGAGAGGGAAAACCCAAGTGCACATTCGTGACGCGTCCTGCAGCTGCAGGCCGAGGGGAACGATTAGCGGAAAACCCGGTTACCGGATTAAACATGAAACCATGTACTTAGGTAATAGTATTATGCTTGCAAAAATGTATATAAATAGACTATTTGTGGAAGGCACAGTCAGTCGGACAAGAACATTCAGTCGAAAAAGAATATTAGAGTCGAGAAGTCGAGAGTATTGCCAAAGTAAAATGTAAATAGTCCTAACCTTAAACAAATTAATTGTGAATAAAAGAGTCTTGTGGCGAAAACGTGCAAGTATATTTCTCTTAAAAAGAACATCCACGATCTAGTGATACGAACCGTATCCGAGGAAAGCGAATTTTGTAACAATACTAATGGCATAGGATTGCCTCTAAAGAAGTCGTTATAAGCATAACGGGTGATAGTTGCCAGAATTTGTTCGAGCTAAACACGTATGAATTGAATCTAGCATCCGACTTTCTTTCTTTGCAATTTATCCCAGCCAAAGGGTATTTATATTCAAAGTTACTCTCTCCTTTCTTAAATGATTTCAAAAGCAACACGACATTTTTCAATAATCGGAATGCTTTATATCTTTTCCAGTCTAGACATTGGTTATTGACTTCACTATTGCTACCGCTTTGGCCATCTTAACTCAATCTAAATGTATTTTATTGAACAAAATGAATAAACACTTTGTTGATATGTGGAGAGTGACTTCATTGGAACGATTATCAAACAACAAATATTTTAAATTTAACATCTACGTCTGTTACTGTTAAAAATATATTGAAATTTATATTTTGTTTTTATTCCTATGCGAAGTGATTGCATTCTCGATGCCTTCCAAAAAAAGCATTTTAACATAAAAGAATTTATTTTTTCTTTAGTCATTATTATTTCATTACAACTTAATGAATGATTATCGGTTCACGTTCATTTCTTTTATTTATTTACTTATTTATATTTTACCTTTGGTGCATATGGTTTGATAACGTAAATATTCATCCAGATTGCAGCTACATTCCAAAGGACATTTGCGTATCGCCTTGCTGGCATCAGCCAATAAAACGAGCACAGCGTAAAGGTAAAGAGTAAAATATTTGACCAGCATCTGTAAGCATTGGAAATACAAAACCGAATAAAGGTAATGGGAAAAAATTAATTAACCTGAAGAGAGCTATTTTTTTTTTCAATTATTATTATGTTATATAAATTTAACTTTAATGCTCGTAATATCTAATTAAAATTAAATGAAATGAAATTTTAGTAGAAGAAGTGAACACTCGATCCTTGATTACTGCTACAATGTGAAAAAGTATTGCTTTCGGCGTTTCTGCATCCTGGACAAGATACGGGTACGCGTGTTCTTTACATATGCTTTCAAAAAGCTGCCCAATTATTTCCCAAAATTATGGGTTGACAACAGAAACTAGGCAAAATGTTTAATTAAGGGTTTTTTGACAATGATGAAAATAACTTTGCCTAATCACAACGGTCCATGACGCTTAAGTTTACGCGTTTCGTCTAAAACAACAAAAATCGTCAAGTTTCATAAATTTCCCTCTGCATGGACTGAATAAATGCCAAAAATGATTTTCATTATTTAGTCATGCTGTCCCTTGATAATTCTTTTTAGTCTTTAATAATACCACAACGAAAATTGTGGCACGTATTTTTTAATGGCGAATTTTGATATTTCTCTTGGGCTTGTTCGGTTTTCTATCCATACTACTTGAGGCTCGAGTTTATATCAGGCTCTTATAGCTGCGGATTCATTAAATCAGTGATCGGAAGCAAAATGTTGAGAAGAAATGAAAAGTAATTGTGTAATTCTGATCACCATAAGCTTCTGAATAGGTGATACATAGGTGGTTGGTTCGTTAAACCCTAAAAGTCTTAGGTTTCGAAATAAAAGTCGTGACCTAATTTCAGCACTCTTCAGATCAATTTTGAAAATTAATCTGACTTGAACTTTACAGCATTGCCAAAAGATGTCAATTCTCTAAAAGGAAGTTTTACTAACCCAGCAAAATGGCTTTTAATCAAAATTCCAATTACCATAGCTAAAAAATAAATACATACAGATAAACAATATAGATATAAGAATGATCGTTAGAGTCGCATCTAATTTGTCACTGAGGAAAGAATTTTGATTCATCAAGTAACGTCTCCTCAGTTAGTAAGATATTTTGCAAATTGTTATACATTCGCTCGAAGCAGGTGGGGCATCCAAGATTCGTATTAAAACGGGCTTTTCCGTCTCTGCTTGAAACTTTTCAAATACATATATAAATTGAAGCCTTTATGTCTTTTTTTGGCGCATAGGGAACAGTTTATGTTGCTTTTTTTGTTATCCTTTCGTCTAAACGGGTTGCAATATCTCTTTTTATATTTACGAATTCGATGAATTCAAAAAAGAGTTTTTTCTATTCAAATTTTATATCCGCCAAATATGAGGGCAATAGAAGCATTTTGTTATTTGGTTTGTTTTATACATGGATGGCATGGAGTGAATTTCATGGGAACCTCCAAAAGAACATAAGAAAAAGGGCTCAGCCCATTTAAGGCGGCCTAATGAATGTATTTATGTATCTAAATTCTTTGTAATCTACGCTTCCGAGTCCTGTTAAAACCCTCGCTTATGTGGGAAACGATATGCATTGTATGTGATCTTTCCTCCGGTATATGTTGGAACTCTATGGTTTGCGTAAGAAATAAAGGCAGATATATGTCCGACTCAGTACTATTTATATCACAAAGTTATTGATTTGAGAAAATTTGTAGTGTTTTTTAGCGATTCGTCTCGAACCTCCCACAATGTCTATGTTGTTCACTTTTATTTTTCAGTGCCTGCACATAAACAAACTGCAATAAGCCTGCATGTACATCTGGAATTTTTCGAAAAATTTTTGTTTTACACACTTAACTATGATTTCAGTTTGAATACCGGAACTTTCATTGCTATTATTTTTCGTATTTTTTCAGTTGTTTAACTTTTGTTGACGTTTAGTTTGTTTTGTAAAGAAGTTTTGCGCTTTTTTTCGCTTCCAATTATGCAAGACAGAAGGATTATACCAATACAGACCAGCGCGAACAATTTGTAAAAAACAATACAATAAAACTGCAGAGTTAAAAGTTCGGCCTCCAAACATATGCCAGCATGTAAGTGAAATTTTCATTCATTTTATATAACTCTTCACTAGAAGTAATATGCAATAGTTTTTAGTAAATATCAGTTGTGTTGCATAAAAAAAAAAACCAAAGCTCAAGCGAATATTTGTAGCTTTACAAACAGTAAAAATAAACGTTGCTGCAACGACCAAAGTATTCGATTTTTAAATATAAAGCTGTAACTTGACTTGTATATATATATAAACCTAAGAAATCAGTTTTGAAACTCAAGTGGTAATATCGCTTGGAGATTTCTTTTTCGTGGTTAGAGGCACTAGTTTTATGTTTGCGATAATAATTTTTTATTTTGATGGTAAATATGATACCATGCAAGAAAATGAATTAAAGTGGGAAGCTGATGATGCATTAAGATGACTTGACACTGTAGCCTTAAGGAATTTCTTAATTGTCCAAGAGCGATACTCGAAAGTTTTTATTGGGAAATTTTCAGTATTACAAGTCATTCAAAGATATTAAACTTGGTAAGTGTAAAAAGCAATTGTTGAAGAACGAATCTTTAAACACATCTCCTTGCGTTGGGTGACTTCAACTTGCCTCAAGTCAATTGGTTTTACAGTGATAGTTCTGGCTGTTTGATTCCTTCCTCAACATCTGATAAAGCCGTTGTGTTCTTCAATGAATTATTTGATAATAATTTAGTTCAATACAATGGTACCCCTAATTGTAATGGGAGATTTCTTGATCTCTGCTTTGCAAATTTTCCTGAGGTTTGCGTTAATCGTTGTCTTCCGTTTAGTTTACCTGAGGATCCATATCATCCAGCATTGGGTGTTTCCTTTCATTACAAGTCTGTTGGTTCGTTGAACCTCTATAACGTTCCAAATTCAAATTTTTCATATCAACGTTATTATTTCCATAAAATCAATGTTTCCATACTAAAATCTCATCTTTCTCATTTTGTGCTCGATTTCTCAGAGGGAAGCATTGATAGCTTACTGTCCTCGTTCTACAATGTATTAAATCAAGCTATTTCTGCATCCGTTCCGATCAAGCAGTCCCGTCCTCGAAGTAAGGATCCCCCGTGGTTTAATAAGACAATTAAATACTACAAGAATAGGAAAAACAAGTTGTTCAAAAAATTTTCGAAAAGTGGTTCTTCTTTCGATCATTTCCCTTACTCTGTTGCAAGGCATAAATTTAATTCCCTCAACCGCCAATACTACTGCAGATACCTTTAGTTTGTTAAATCTTCCTTGTTTGCTAACCCTAAATACTTTTTTAAGTTCGTTAATTCCAAAAGAAAAATCTCCATAAACCCGTCGTTTGTGTCTTTTAATGGCTCCGGGTCCTCGGATGATTTTGAATCCTCAAATCTCTTTGCGGAATACTTCCGACAGAACTTTTCAACTGCCAATTTTGATTTATCGGAAAATTATCCATATTCGATTTCTAATTCGGTTTCAATTCCTAACTTTGTTTATATCGGAAAATGACTTTTTTGAAGGATTGAACTCTCTGAAATATAATTGTTCGCCTGGAGCCGATGGCATCCCCTCATGTGTACTTATATCTTGTGCTGGCGAGCTTTGTGATGTTATCTCAAAGATTTTTAATAAGTCTTTGAATTTAGGTGTTTTCCCTTTGTGTTGGAAGACTTCTTTCCTTATTCCTATTCACAAAAGTGGTAGTAGGCAACTTGTAGAGAACTACAGAGGCATCGCCAAGTTGAGTGTCTTACCTAAACTGTTCGAGCGAATTGTGGCTCAGCATATAGCCTTTTCCATGAAATTGTATATTTCTCCTTTCCAGCATGGTTTTCGAAAGGGAAGATCTACGGTGACCAATCTGTTGGAGTTTACTTCTCATGTTTTCAAGGCTTTTTCTAGTGGTTCTCGCACTGATGTCATTTACACTGACTTTAGCAAGGCGTTTGATATGGTTAATCATAGACTTCTTAGATTTAAAATCCAGACCTCTGGCTTTCCTCTCTTCTTAGTTGAATGGTTAAGCTCTTATCTGTATGGTAGATCATTCAGGGTTTTGTTTAACCTCATTACCTCGGATGAATTTCCCGTGACGTCTGGCGTACCTCAAGGTAGCCACTTGGGACCTATTTTATTTAATCTTTACATCAATGATTTGCCCTCCGTGATTAAATTCAGTAAGATTTTAATGTATGCTGATGATGTGAAACTGTTTACTTCTTTTTCCGTAGAATCGCAATCACATCATCTTCAAAGTGATTTGAACAATTTGGTTGCATGGTGCTCCCTCAATCTTCTGAAGCTAAATCTAAATAAATGTAAGAAGCTTTCTTTCTTAAGAAGGAAGTCGTTTAGTACCCAATACTTCATTGATTCGCACAGGTTGGAAGACGTCGATTCGTTCATTGATTTAGGCGTTCTATTCGATTATAGGTTACGTTTCAATTTGCATATTGAGTCCTCGTTAAGCAAAGCTAGGTCCGCTCTTGGTTTTATAAAGAGGTGGTCCAAAGAGCTTGATGATCCTTATATTACTAAAAGGCTTTACACGTGTTTGGTTAGACCTATTCTTGAGTATGCCTCTGTTGTGTGGTCTCCTTCATATAGATGCTACGTTGGTTCAATTGAATCTATACAAAAGCAATTCTTGCTGTTTGCACTTAGGAATTTGGGTTGGGACCCGATTTCCCCTCTTCCACCCTATGAAAATAGGTTGCTTCTGTTATCCTTACCGTCACTCGAGAAACGTAGATTTGTTCTTGGGGTTTCCTTCCTAATCAAATTAATAAATGGTGCAATTGATTCGCCCGCATTACTTCGTGAGATTTGCTTTAATGTCCCTAACCGCTTCTCTAGGTACTTTATGTTGATAAAGCTTAGTCAATGCAAATATAACTTTGAACTGTTTAACCCGCTCAGAGTTGTTTGCGAGAACCTAAATGATGTCTATCATCTATTCTCATTAACGGACTCTTTAAAGTCTATTAAAGCAATA